GAAATCCATTCTCAACATTTAAAAAAAATGAAGGGCCTGGGGCTTCCCTGGCACCCCAGAAAACAAAATTAAATGAAAAAATTCTTTTTAAAGAACCAGCAGATTCCAACAGTATAAAATAACAGTTCAATGTTACACCAGCAAATTCTGTTCCACAAATGCAGACATGAACCAATGAAATAAAATATACTACATTATTCACAACATTAATCCATAAGGATAAAATCGTGTAATCATCTAAAGAACTGCTAAAAGACAATTTAAAATTTTTAATATGCTTTTAGTTTTAAAAATAACTCAATAGAAGAAAAAGTAAGATAAATTTCCATTATTAGCACCATTCTTTTACATTATATTAGAGGCAGCAGCCAATCTAACTCAATAACAAAAATAAATTAGCAGTGTAGAACTTAAAGAAGAAATACAGACACAAGTAAAATTACATGAATATATACCTAAAACACAAGAAAAAATATAGAGCTCTTAAATTTGAAAATAATACACCACATGAGTTTAACCTTCAGAAAAGTGAAATCACAAGGACAGATGGACATGCTCAATAGAGTTGAAATATAATAACTGTAAATATAATAACTGTAAATTGCTACTAGAATATACTTAATAAACAAAAAGCACTACAAAGAAATATTAAATTGCCCTGAATAGTAGTCATAGTATTATCAGTATCATTTTGTCTTTTGTTGACTTTTCATTTTTTAGCTCTTCACACTTATCTGAAAGATGCAAACAGCGTGTGCTTCTGTTGTACTGCATGATACAGTATGTATCATGTAATGCTAATAAAATTCAACAGAGTGCAGTCTGCATGGGATATAAATATTTTACTACGATATGCACCCATGTTTATAGCAGCACAATTTGTAATAGCCATATCTGGGAAACAATCTAAGTGTCCAATGACTGAGGAATGGATAAAAAAGTTGTGGTATTATTATACAATGGACTACTACTCAACTATAAAAAATGATCACATTGAGATATTTATAAATAAATGAATGCAACTTGCTTATGCATAAGCAAAATAAATCAAACTCATATGTATAAATACCAAGTAGTCTCCCTAGTATAAGAAAAGCTAAGAGTAAATAAGATTTTATGGTAATCATGAATCCCTGTTACATTGCTTTGAAGCCTTATTATGTTTTCATTCATTAGTTAGAATGGTTTTATTCTATTTTGTTTGATTTTATTATCTGTCATGGTATGGACAGCTATTTTGAAGAAACAAGACATTATGGCAGCCATTGATGATTTAATATCATCTTGCCTTGACGTTCTACCATGCTTTTGTTCTTCTGTTTCCATTGGTTCTAATACATTCTACCTTATTGGATTTTATTACGTGTGATATTATAAACAAATTTTTTATGGAAAATGAGGTAATATAGTAGCCATTGTTCAGTTTCTGGTTCTGAATGCCCTGTAATATTTTCATTCTCTTGAATGGTTTTATACTATTTTGTTATGTTTGATACTATTGTATGTGAAAGTATGTTCAACTATTTCAAAGAAAGAGACATTATGGTAGTTACTGTTAATTACAGGTTGTCTTGTGGTGAAGTGCTGTTAATTACATTGTTCTGTTCTGATCTGCTTTGTTTTGTCCTCTATTATATTAATCTCTTTAAAAAGCTAATAACCAGTGAAGTACAAATAAAATGACAAGGATACATAAACTCAAGCTTATTATAATGGCTATTATGAAGAACAAATGATAAGTGTTAGATTGCAATCAATGACAGTAAAGACATGGCAGCAAAGGAATACTTCAAAACTACTAGTACATAGATTTGTACAATTATAAAAAATAATATACACGGCCACCATAAAAATAAAAATACATGTATAAGCTAATCCAGCAATGCCTGGGTATACTGAATATCCAAAGAATGATAGCAGTGCCTAATCTCTAATTTTTATTCCATCACTATTTAAGATATCTTAGACAAATACTCAGCCTCCATGTCCATTGATAGATAAATTCATAAGGAAAATTCTACACATACACACATAAGAATATTATCCAACTTGTACAAAGAAAACATTTTGATATTTGCCACAAGGTAAATGAATCTAGGGGACATTCTGCTAAGTGAAATGAATTGTGTACAGTAAGACAAAAGTTGTACAATTTATTTCTCAGGCAAGCTAAAACACACATGAGGCAGAATTATGGCTGGTAGGTTTTGAGAAATGCTAGCCAAAAGGTCCCACTTTTCACATAGACAATATAAATACATTCTAGGGAATCTAATGTACAATATGTTGACTTAATTAATAATAATGTAAAATGTGTTTGAAATGTTCTAATATAGTTTATTTTAAACCTTAAGGGAAGTAACCATAACTGTACAAAATGATGGATATTAAGCTTGATTGTAAATACTTGTCAATGTATGCACGTAAAAGTGTCAAATAGTACATTTCAAATGATTTTGTTAATATTAGTTCAATAAAGGTAACATTGAAACACAAATTGTGTGATGCAATCCTTATATACTTGATTTTATTGTAAATACATGAGTTGTTGTAACAAATATCTTCATAAATCCAAACCCATCATGAAAAGCTGACCATAATTTTGCTTACCTGTTGCAGTTCATGGCAACAATTAACCCTACGTGGAGTACAGAAATGTGCTAAAATGAGCTGAAAGTGGAATAATGGTGGTTTGAAGAATATAGACACACAATGGGGAGGAGACAGTGAATTTCACTGATAAAATAACAGCTCTTCATATTTTGTCATGAGATGCAAACTTGTCATATAAAATATAATATAAGGTAAAAGAAAAATGAACATAAACTTTGAAAAGCATTACACATGAAGATTACCATTTATTAAGGTCACTTACCTAATGATAATATCTGCTATCATCAGGACATTTTCAGTGAAAACACATGTGTGTGTCTGAAATTTAACAGACATTCACATCGTCATCACTTCCCTCCCGTATAAACTGTCTGGACCTCTGTGTTAATTTGTGCATAACTATAGAATAAGTTGAACCACACTAGACTGTACCCACCAACTTCTCCAGGCTCCATTCTCTACCCATTGCTCTGAAATTTCTGATATATCTGGCATTAGTTTATCTGTACTGTTGACTTAATATATTACCTAACCACTCTACAGAATAGATGTTCCATTCACGTTTGGTCCCTCATGCTGTTTCATATTTCACCTCAGTTTTACTTTCTGGTGCCAAGTCTAACTCCCAGATTGAGGAACCTATTTTATAGATAAACAGAGTTGAAGTCCTTCACACTTGGAAGAACGCTACACTTAATGAACCTGAAATTCAGTAAAAATTTTACTTAACAATAATGTATAAATGCTGTCCACAAAACTACTCCCAAGTAACTGTTCATCTTCTATGTACTTTCTGTGAAAGTGTGAAGATGCCTACATATAGCTAGCAATGAAATTATTACAAATTACATTACATAGAATCTTTTAAAAATTAGGGATTTTTCATTTTTGGCTTTAAAATATAAAAAATCTGTCTAAAGTTAAGTATGACCAACAAATACAACTTTTACTAAGAACTGTGAAATAATAGGACAACGAGTGAAATGTAGGATAGCGGGTCATGTCTCAGCTTATGGCTTAGTTCTACTACAAACATAAAATGCGAATCACACTATGCTGACCTTGGTTATTCTGGAAAAGTGTGTTGTAAAAATTTAAGCTAAAATGTGTTTATCGGTTATGAATCCATGGTCTCTTAGTGCCAAATGCATAGTTCAATGCATGGTCCTTATTAATGAAAGTGAGTCCTGGCAGCATTTTCCTCTACACTGGATGTATCATGATGTTTATCTTTGTCACTGTAGCACATTGAATGGGGCCTCTTCTTGATTCAAATGTTTCTGTTTTCATCTTCAATGACTATGTAATTGCCACTATTATGTGTCTGTTTGGAGGAATGTGGCAAGATATCCAATGGTGCCCATTTCTCGGCTTCTCTGACAGCTTCATAAATGCTTCCTTCTTGAATTTCAGTAGCATATCTGTAGAGTACAGTGGATGACACCAGTGCCCCATCTCTCAGTTTCCAAACCCTCTTAGTATGCACTGTGGTGTGGTGTTTTCTGTCACCCTTGATCCAGCTACAACCCAGTCTGTCTGCCAATCAAAGCCACAGTTCACGTTCACCAGGGTCATTGTGCCATCCCACCATCACCCCAACCTGTGAGGTTTCCAGTTGGCCAGTACCAGAGCTTACTTATGTACCAGTTTCTTTCCAGGTACTGTGAACTAAAACAAAATGAACTTTACCATTCAATAAATGACAAATACACCTTTGAGCAGTATTAGAGTCCCAGCCTGAGGGAGAAACAAAACCTTAAATTCTGTATTTTTCGTAGGTACACATCTTTTAATCCCCGAGTATTCTTTACAATCTTAATATTCTAACATTTCTTGCTCAAATCAGCAAAGTTCCACAATCCTGATTGGATTCTGATTGGACCATGCAGTAATGCCATCTTATAGACCCTATAGATCAACATTGTCACTTCTTACTTTTCACACAATGCTTGATGAAAAATAAATGCAAAAGAGAGAATTAACATAGAGACCAGAATCCAAAGTAAAATAATATCACTGAGCATGTTATTTTCAATCATAAGAATAACATCTCAATATTACACAAGACTGTTATGATATGAGCTCAATATTGTACATTCATATATTTTAGCTTCTGGATATGTTTTAAACTTTCACTTATATTATTAATATTTACTGAGTAAGAAGCAATTAATTCTGAAGACATTATTAATAAGTGCATTCTGAAGACATTAATAATAAATAAGTGCATTATTTGTGTTTTTATTAGTGTTAGTTTGCAGCCTAGTGCTTAATTATCTGAAAGTATTACTTAAATCCTCACTGCAAATGATGTCTCTGTATATAGCTCAAGAAAGTTGGACTCGATTTCATTAATCTCAACTTTTTTTAATGTTGAAAGATCTCAGTCATCTCCTATCTGAAGTCACTTTTCTCCTCCAGAGTTTCCATAATGCATTCTTTACCTCAGCATTTCTGAGAGTGTATATTAAAGGGTTTAACATAGGTGTCACCATGGTATAAAAAACAGCAACAGCTTTATCAATTGGTAAAGTGGTCATTGGGCGCAGATACACAAATGTGCAAGGCATGAAGGATATAACAACCACTGTAATATGGGATACACAGGTGGAGAGGGCTTTCTTCCTCCCATCTAAGCTATAGTTTCTTAGGGAACACAAGATGATCACATAGAACACCATCAGGAGGATGAAGACCAACAGGCAGATGAACCCACTGTTGGCAGCAACAAACAGACCAACAGTGTGAGTGTCCATGCAGACGAGTTTCAACAAAGGGTATAAGTCACACATAAAGTGGTCTATGATATTTGGGCCACAGAAGGGAAGCCACACAGTAAAGAGAATCTGAACAGTAGCATGCAGAAATCCTCCAGCCCAGGCCACCCCCACAAGGAGAATGCACACCTTGCGACTCATGATGCTCACGTAGTGCAGAGGTTTACAGATGGCCACATAGCGGTCATAGGCCATCGCCATCAGCAGGATGATCTCAGTAGCACCAAAAATGTGTTCTGTATACACCTGAGCCATGCACCCATTAAAGGAGATGACTTTCTTCTCATGCAAGGAGTCTACAATCAGCTTTGGAGCTGAGGAAGAGGAATAAATTGTGTCTATCAAGGAAAGGTGACTGAGGAAGAAATACATGGGTGTGCTCAGAGTCTGGCTGATGACAATGGCCACCACAATAAGCAGGTTGACAGTGAGTGTTACCATGTACAGAATCAGAAAGACCACAAACACTGCTTTCTGCACTCCTGGGTTCTGTGTGAGACCAATTAAAATGAACTCAGTCACGTTCCTGTTATTCTCCATGCATTCAGTGTGCATAATAAGAACTCCAGAAACAAATGTTTAACTTTATAAAAAGAACTGTAGAAAATCAAACCGTCCAAAACTCTGTCTTTTCATTACCCTTCCATTTCACAGGCTATTCTTTTTCTTCCTACATCTCATTACAAATAGGAAGCTCCAAACTTCTTTTGACTCTCTCACTTTTTTATTTTCTTGATTTCAAAATCCTCTTATAAGACACGGGATATCCAAAAGAAATGGATTTTATTTCCTAGAGTCAAAGGATTAAATGAAAAATTTCAATGGAACATCAATACAATGGAATAGTCATTTAGAAGTAGTAATTTTGGTGAATAACAAGACTGTGAACTAAAACCATAGAATTACCTCTATAATTTATTTATAATTAGGTTTATATACAACAGGTGACAATTTTGTGATATGGTCAAAGAATTAATGTTTGAAGAGTAAAGCTATTATATGTATATTTTAATAATAAATTTCAAAATCAGTCTTTATAACGTTCCCTGTTTTGTTCAACCTATATGAAAACCCATGTATGATACTTCCCTTTTCTTCACATCCTCACCAAGTGAATACAACCAGAGCACAATGTGTTAAGTGACATCAGCTGGAGAAAGGGAGATATTCATATTTTCTTCTGTCTCAGATGTGGAAGCTCAAAACCATCAATCTGAATGTGTAGAATGGTGACCATGAGATGCAGGAAGGAGATGAGAGGTAGGGAAAGAGAGGTTGGTAATTGTTAGTAAAACAGAGATGCAAGACATTACGATGTTTCACAGAACAGTGAGATGATTATACCTCATAGTAATCTGTTATGTTTTATGAACATCAATACTAGGAAGCCCAAAGGCTTAAACATGAAGAAGAGGAAACAAAAACAAAATGCAATCACTCTTTATGAATCAGTATCTACGACATGCATGTTTTGAATTATCACCTGGAAATCAATTAATATGTGCAGTTGTTACATATCAATCAAAAATGTAAGGAAATGCCAATGCTGGATAGCCATTAAAAGCATATGTATAGAAATTTTTACTAGTAAGTTTATTAATATATTTAGAGTACCTACATCAGGATGTCATATTAAGGTTAGTATTTCCTCTTTTGTTAGTAATTTTTTCCTAATTTCTCTAGTTTGTCTTGCAGATTTTATGATCAGAAAAAAAATATTTGATTTCCACAGTTTTCTTGGAGGTCAAAAATTGAAACCGTGATTTTTTTAATGAAGTAGAATATTTAAGACAATAAACATGAGAAATTTTGCTTTATATATATTGGGAGCCCAGGGAATCTTATCAGAATATGATTAAAGTAGTGCTGCACTGTGCTCAAGATATTATTAACAATTCACAAAATGGACATAGGATCAGGTTCTGAACCAGCACTAGATGTTCAGTGAAGACCACGGCAGTGAGTGACACTGTCATGACTGTTCCATAGACCATCCTAACTGTCACCTTGGCAATTGATCTCTGGTTTTAAAATGCAATAGTCAATAATATATATGAGTCATTCAGTCAAATCTGCAATATTCATCCAGAATCCATTTCATGCCAAGTCAATTTTCATTTTCTTGATGAATACATGTATTGCTTAATTAAACATCAAAATAGATTTAAAAAGTAAACTTTGTCATTATTAATTCTCACATTTCCTTGTACCACATTTTCCATTTATTCATTGTGATGTTCTCAAAGTAGAAATGTGGCGAAAAGTAATATGAACTGCCCCTGTTATGTGTGGGTATTACATATAATGAGGAGCTTGTAAGAGAAACCTATTCCAGGTGATTCCATGTGGAGTATACTGAGTAGTTACTCTTTGAGCCCACAGCCAGGACATGAGCTCCCTTGCTGATAGCTAGTGTACTACAGAATCCTTCCAGGTGCAGGAAATCTTAAGAATAAAATTATGTGCACATCTAGTTACGAGTTCATCTTTCAAGGCTACTCTTGGGAAAACCAATATATGTTTAACTACCTAAAAGTCTGTGCCGAAGGTTAGACTTTTATGAGTTAAACCAGTCAGAACACCCCAAACTTCATTATTCATCTTATTTTTACCTGTTAGCTCCATGTCTTACAAATTTTGAAGTTATCTGAATATTTAGTTCTTTTATAAAATTTACCTTCCTTCTTTTCCCAGACATTATGCAAACAAAACATGCAAAGAATTGTCTTATGCTAAATTCAGTGAGGTTGATGTTAATTGGCAGATTCAGTTTCACTCCTGTGTTTTAGTCCTAAGACTAGGAATGTACCTATTAGAACTCAAATCGCCAATACTCATTCTTGGGTAGAAAACAAGTCAAACACTAGTCTTCTATGTAAGATCCTTACCACTGAAAGACAAGAATCTAAACTTTTTCCCAGATAAAACTTCCATATTTGTTTAAATTCCCTACACTCAATTTCAAATAAAACTTTTAGTGTACAGTACATTTCCTCATTCCAATAATATGTGGAGATTCATTTTTCTGTCACATACTTATACATAATAATTTTCAATTTGTGCATGTGATATAATCCATTATCCTAAATGATTTATATGTACAATATGCATACACTTTACCTAATTCTCATAAAATATTAAGAGTTTTGTAATACTTTTATTTTTACTCTAAATAAATTAAGCTGTAATTTGGAAGTAAATTATTTGCTCAGAGTCATAATGTTTTTTAAAAAAATAGAGGAACCCATATTGAAATCCAGGCCATCTGTCTCTAACTCTTCAGCACACACTCAGAACATCCCCAGAATAGATCCGGTTTAGTTGTGGGAATGAAAAGTGCCAGTATTTGAACAAGCGGACTAGTGCTTAAAGCCACAACTTGTGACCCCAGAAGATCCATGGCAGAATTTATGACAAGCTATGAAACGTAAAGTGTGACACTAATAGAAACTTCCATTGATTAGGCTCCAGCATTGTAACACATCAAAGATCATCAGGAACCTTCCATTTTTCTTATTTACACATGCCTTAAAGATGAATAAACTGAGGGTTAGACAAATACAGTACAAGGAAATACACTTTATTGACCAGTGGAATTAGACAAGATAACCCAGGTCTAGTAATTAACTAAAAATACATGTTTTTTAACACTATGGTTCTTTATCCCTACAATATTGTGTTTTCTTAGGAAGCCTTAAAATGAGGATATATAAAGAAAAATAATCACAAGAAGATAGATGATTACTACTCAGTTCATATTGTCTATATCTGTCTAAATAAATAGGGCTGAGTCTCAATGGGAAGATGAAGAAACTAAGTCATGACTAGGACCAAATTCCTTGCAGTAAACACAAGCTCATGTCTGGTGAGAACAATATCTGAGAAAGTCTGATAAATTTAAAATGAACTGTAACCCTGAGCCTGGACCTTAATAAGACTCTCAACGAATGCAGAGTACAATCTCTTTTGCAGATATTATATTTCCTTGTGTTTACCTCTCAGGTCTCATGTTTAGAGTTGAAAGATTCTTTTGTAAACAGAATTTAAATGTTGTTCTCCCTTCCCAGCTGGACTATCTTGCTGGCAATGAAGTTCTCAGATCTGCTGCCCATTTGCCTTTTTATTCTCAAATGCATCTCATATTTCCTCCCATCAGTACAGGCAATGCAAGGTGAGATTTTGTCTCTCTTTGATCCCTGTAAATTACCAAATTCAGAGGATTATTTAAAGAACATCAGTAATTTTATATAAACAATTTCCAACCATTCAAACCACTATATCCTATGTCATACATGGAGAAAATTCAGCAACCCATCTAGTTACTGAACTCTTTCCAAGCTGAACAGTTTGGAAATTAACTTTGAATTCAATAAATTGTAAACTTTTTCCAGTGAAATTGTAATTATATCCATACTGACACTTAGGAGAAAAAATTTTCTGTGAAATATATAAAACTGAATATTTCATCATATATTAGAAGGTTATCCTTCAGTGATTTTAGTTACAAACTCATATGAGAACTTTATTATGTGTATTTTGGTTTCCCATAGAAGAGGTACCGTGCAATATTTAAACTCACATGTGGGTGGATCCAGAGGGCGGAGAGTGGCAGGGGAAGTAAAAAAGAAAAAGGTTTTATGAGTATGTACCAACTCTTCATGTGAAATGTAGTCATTATGTACTGAAAATATGAACTAAAAAAATTAAATGTTAAAGTTCTAAATTAAAAATAAATATAAGTAATGGAAAAGTAGCCCTTTGTGGATACATAGAAATAAAGTAAACTAAATATAAGAATCAAATTCTACCTAATTCTGGTTACCTCGCAGGTAAGAAGAAAGACCAATGTATTTAGAAATATGAAGTAATCATTATCCATACCTATTTCAGCAGCATCTTCTATAATATGTATTTTTCAAATCCCCATTAACTACCCAGTATCGCAAGAAGCTGAAAATGTCAAGATGGCACCTATTTGGAAAATGAAATCATCAATCAATTTCTGAGATGCCAGTGTCTTTGAACCTCACATCAAAAAGAACAAGAAAATAGTATGTTGCATTTGAAACTCAAAGTCCTTAGGTGCTGTAAACATTTTCTGATCTCTGCATCCAATCTAAAGTTACAGAATAAGAGACACAAATATCTTTTACATTGAATGTCTCTTCTCAATCTTCCCTGAAAATGAGAAACATCTTGTGGAAATAAGATGTGTAGAGAAAGTCCTGTAAGTTTTATTAAAGAACATATCCTTCTGTTCTTTACCCTCTCCTCATGAATTAATTATCTCTAGTTTGTAAAGGAGTTTACCTTAGAAACATATTGCAGAGTACGTATCTAGAAATTATATGTCTTCCCCTGTTTGTGTCTTTTCCCTGTGCTTTAATCCACTGACAGCCTACACTTCTGGTCTAGAATATGATGTGATGAGGCACTGCTCTAGTAAGCCCTTGGGTATCCAGAGCTGGGACACAGAGGACTCTAAATGCTGTGTGATGACAGTGTGGGTTTTGCTCAGCACACACCTCCCTAAGGAAACTTCTGCCCTGCCT